ACAGTGATACGTCCAATATCAAGAACGGTGAAATTTATCCCCAGCCCGTGGCTTCCTGTTCTTTCAAACTGATGCCTTTGTTTATTTGATGGCAAAGCGCAGTTCATGGACATGACAAAAGATTTATGTAGATGTTTCAGGTTGAGTACTCATTTTTACAAACGAAGCTTTTCAAATATTGTTGCTGAAATCAACGAAGCATTCATGAAGTGTTTGACGATGCCGGCACACATTCAACGCAGACGACAATGCGTGGCAGTCATGAAATGTAGCAGCGATCGACAACGGATATCTAGTCTATGGTTAATTCGAATCTGTGCTGCTCGCCAACCAGATTTTGACATGCTACGGAAGATCTGGTCCTTCGGTACTTAACCTCATAAGCGCAGTGGACGGCGGATATGTATATCGAATAACTTCAAAAATGCTTTCGTCTGAATTTGGCAGTATATCTTAGTTCACTGTAACTTTTTGTATCGTTTATTTGCGGATGGTAGAAATCACCGTATTTCGACCAGTCTCCACAGCCACCTTGTAAGGAGTAGAAGTGGAAGCACAAGTTTCATTTGATCGAAGTATACATTTTATGATCGGTAACCAATAAACTTAAAAATTCTTTATAGGTGCTTTTTACTTATATAGGTTCGCTATATAGGTTTAAATGAGTAAAGTTGTTTCTGCACTGTTAAGACCAGTTAAAATTTTGATGTATAAAACATTTCAATTCTAACTTATTACTTTAAACGTCTGATACCGGATTTACATGTAATTTACTGACTTTACAGCGATATTGCGGTAGTGTAAGACGGAAGGCAGTCATTACACCAGTTTGATCCGCAACATTGTTCCGTCCCATCGCTTCTAGTCACCGAGTGGGACCATTTTAGCAGGTCACCGCTCTACGGTATTTAAGCGCCTGCTGCTCAGAGAACTCGTAGCTTCTCACAATAACGTCTACATCATGTAGGGATGGAAGAGGGTTGCACGATTGTATTGCATTATAAATTAGTATTTGGCCTCATCGGAGCGCTTGACGATGAGATGAGATTAAAAACAAACCGTTTTAACATCAGCACTGTATAATTATGATTATGCCATTTGGGATTTTTAATGTAAGTTTGCGTTGTGAGCCGAAGGCTAAACTCAATCAATTCGAAGTTGAAGGACTAGTCTGAGAGAAAGAAAATTGAGGTGGAAACTTTGCTCATTGTATCTTAATAATAAGAGCATCGTAGATGACCTAAAGGGCACTCGACGCTCTAGACCTATATTCGATTTACTTTCACCTGTTACTCATTGGTATTCCATTTCGTCGATGGTTGTACCAAGTTACGTCGGTGTAGATAACGAGCGTTACGTGCGAACGCAGGAAAATCGAACCGATATTGAGTAATCAGATGATAGGAATTAAGACGGCGGTGATGAATTATCGACGATTTGTTTAGATGAGTCGCGCATACGAAAGGCTGAAACTTCGTTGGCAGCCAAACAGTAGGTTACAAATGTTTATCCGCACTAAATCAACCGTAGAACGGAAGACACAAATTAGCTGAGTGAAAGGAAACAAAGCGTTACGCCGTAGCTACGTTTTCGGTGGTTTCGCCTTTCGTCGATTTTAGAGCTGATGATAATGATAATAATTTTAAAGCTGGTGATAGTAATTTATCGCGTGAGTTGAGGTCGAATTCTTCTAACGTCTGAGGCTCGAAAATTGTCCATCGATGCCGCATAGCCGTGGTTTTCAGATGTGTCATTTGAAATCTTTCTGAACGTGTGTTCGCCTTTCTTTAAAGTCGCTGCCAGAACCGTAAAACTGCAAGCTAAATGAAGGCGCAGTATCGATTGCCCATTGTCCTCTGTCTGCAGGCAGTCGAGTATTCGTGGTCACGAGCCGCGGCACATTTTGCGACAGCCATTTTCACTGGGTGGGTGTGATGGGTCACGAACTGACGATATCCTTGTTTGGTTTTAACGACATGATTTTATTATGCAAACCTCTCCGTTCATCGTTCCCTTGTTCTCTGGAAACTAGTTTGGCAGTGATTAGTTGTTAATAATTTGTACATGAATTATTACGCTATTAAATTACAATCATTAGTTATTCCACGCCAGAGATAGTCTTCAACGGAGTTGCATGATTGTTCACCTGAGTTCTGCGATTGATGTGATGATACATCGCCGTTCCTGACTCCTGAGAAAGTAACCTCATGGGATTGATTCTTATCTATAAGGTGGCCATTAAACTGTTTATTTGTGCTCTCACCTCAGGGAACATTTTGCGAGATGCAGTCGTCGAGTGACTCACGAGGTGAGTTGAAAACACTCCTCCCCCACCCAAATATCCTCTTATCCCGCCAGAACTATTGTTTGTGTTCCTCGCAAGTGTGTATGCAGAACCGAAAGGTTACAGATTCGAGCTCCTGCTTTGTCACTTGCCTTTCCTTCTTGATAAGTGAGTGTCATTTTCTAGGAAGGAAAGAGGGCACTACACACTATGTTTGCCACATAGCGATGTCATATCTACCTTTGAAATAAGTCATTCCTGACTAACACCATAGAAATGGAAATCAATCCCATAAAAGAAGGCTACCAGAAATGATTCCATCATGAAGGCGTCAGAAACACCAACAGTGCAAGGGTGTTAAACTTTCATTTTCCTATATTAATAAGTGATGCAAACCATTTCTCAGTATGCTACGATAGCGTTTTGCATTCCTAGTCAATCATTTCCTAATTGCGCCTTTCCAATTGGGTCTTGCACAGAGCAGCGCCAGTCAATACCCGGATCTTTCGAGACTTTGTACCGGTAACGCTTGAGCATGGTCATGATATATCCCGTTGTCGGAAGGCCCGTTCATTAGAGCACTTAGTGCTCATTAGTGCTCCAATTCATTCTTGACCGTTCTCGGAGTCTTGAGCCTTTCGCTCAAGCAGTAATAGATACTTTGTCATCGTTTTTAGTGGCGTTAACAAGACATCTACAAAGAGTCACTGCCGTGTCCGTTCTCTTGCGAAGTAGCTACTGAATTTCCACAGCTTCATAATCTGTTAGCCTAACAACTCTGTCGAGAGGTAATATCGCTGAGATTTTCTTCTGAAAGGTCCGTCTCCCTCGCTTGTACCCGTGATCATGAATTTTTTGGTTTATTACTCATGATTCAATCACAGGTGAACATGCAGACAAAACTTGCCGTGAACACAAACTGTTTCATATTCAAGTTTTGTTCAAAATTCAAGTTAGTTATGCTGTGGTAGCGATACGTCTGAATAGTTCACGGAATATTTCGCAGGCCTTTTCTATCCGCCGGTCGGTTTCGTCGTCTCATCTTCCTTCGGTCATAAAAACAACACCAAGATTCTTGAAAGTCACTGTTGTTTAGTAAAACTTCATTACTCCGCGGAGCACACCGGGCAGGTGATTCAGGAAACGCTGACGCTTCGGTACTACACGGGTTTATTCGCTTGCCAGTCATACACTCAGCTGCGAACGTTTAGAATGCAGGAGGCTCGCTTGGGTGGATTCCGATCAAATAAAGTCATTTGCAGATATCAAATATGTTATTTCAGCGACTGAGTTACCCTACCGCGAGTAAGTAATTGCCTAGAATGAGCAGTCTGAGGTTGATCATCCTCTTCACATATCAAGTGGGCAGCGGTGACAGTGCGGAATCCAGTGCCGAATCCAGTTAAACGCCTCAACATACTGCTGACTTGCGCTTTACCTTTGGGACATCATTTGCTGGTGCTAACAGAAACTGGTGTAAGCTGTTTCATATTTTTTCGCGAGCACGTTTTGCCCCTACCACTTCGCCACGAAGAGGTAATGGGGCATTTATCCAGTTACTTTCTGTCCAATCATTATCGCAAATTCTGTTAATTCGCAACTTCGTCCGACCGGTAAGGAAGTAGAGACTTACTGCTATTATTGAGATTGATCTGCAGGTATTTTTAGTTGTTTTTTGCTGTTTTCATACAATTCAACCTTCGGTATGATAGCATTTTCTTTTACAAAAGTTTTAATATGCGGATGTTGCACAGGTAATATATTTATGCGTTGCCATAAATGACTCAATTGCTATCTGAATACCCTAGACTTCCAGCGATCAGAGGTTTGACTGGTTGCACCATGCTGAATCATCCTATGTTGCGACTTTATCTTGTTCTGC